GGGAGGGAGGGAGGGAGGGAGGGAGGGAGGGATGCGGCTGAGCGACAACGTGAGCATCCGCGTGGCCCCGTGTCCTCGCCAGCCTGCGGGGATGCAGACACGGGAGGTGCACACACACAGAGGGGGCAGCCACTGGGAGCCGGGGTGGCTCTTGGGGTGCACAGGGCTGAGGGACAGGAGAGGGACCCGCAGCGACTTGCAGGGGCGATGCCAGCGCAGTTCTCCCACCCTGTTGCTTCGCCCCGCTGCCTGTGCTGCAGCGCTGCCCGCGCCAGCTCCCTGCCTGAACTGGCAGCAAGCGCTGCCGGGCAGTGGGAGGCACCGGCCGCTTGGCCACCCCGTCCCAGGCACGGTGCTCCCGGCCAACAATGAGCCCAGCCAGCTCCTTCCCCACGCCGGAGGGGGGGCCCGCAGCTGCCCTCACGTGGGGCCGAAGGGACCAGGAGTGCAGCACCCCCGGGGATGGGTGCTGAGGGTGCTGGGTCCTTGGCCAGAGCCTGGGGATGGGTGCAGAGGGCAGGCACTGCTGTTTGCTTTGGCCCCCGCCTGTGCTGATGGCCAAATGCCGGGAAAGGGCCCTCAGAAGGTTCATACTCCCACCCCAGGCTCAGCAAACAGAACAAGTGGCACCTTGGCAGCCGGGGTGGCCCCCGCCTCCTCCCACTCACCTGGCACCCTATAAATCCCCCGGCTCTGGGTGGCGAAGGGACAGGAGCCGCATGGCGATGGAAGGTGAGATGGACAGCAGCTCCAAAGAGCCTCTGATGGAGGAGGCACCCCCGGTAAGGAGCACCCACCCCCCCAGCCTGGGGAGTCGGCGTGGGGCTGAGCAGCGACTAACACCCCCGGCCCCATGCTGGCAGCTCAAGTGATCCCTTGTGTCCCCAGAGTTACACGGCCTCCCCCCGCCTGCCCTGCATCCCCCACCAGCTCAAGTGCCTCCTCGTGGTGGTGGTGATGGTGGTCGTCCTCGTGGTGGTCGTCGTCGCCTTCCTCCTCCTGGGGCTGCACATCACCGAGACGCACGCCGAGACGGTGAGGCAGCGCCGGGCAGGGAGCGGTTTGGGGATGGCACCAGCCACTGATGCTTTGCAGGGATGGGGTTTAGAACCCCGACAAATCTCCCTGAACCCCCCGCCTCCTCTGCCTGGCAGGTCTTGCGAATGACCATCCATGGCCTGGATGGTGAAGGGACCCCCCAGCACCTCTCCATGAGCAAGAAGGAACGGACCGGGACGTTTGCGGTGCGGGACGGGCTCAACGCCTCCGCCGTGGTGGTGTACGACTACAGCAAGGTGTGGGGGGGCAGCCCCGGGGACGGGTGGCAGTGGGGACAGGGCTGAACTGACCCCAATCTGTCTGCAAACAGCTGCTGGTCAGCTACAGGTCCTGGCGTCACCGCGCCTGCTACATCACCCGTGTGGACAAGGACAATATTCCGGGGCTGGACGCTGTCACCGAGACCTTCCAGCGCTGGCAGGTGGGTGCTGGCCACCCTTCTTGGATGGGTTTGGCAGTTCCTGGGCCAAGTGTGGGGCTGCTGGGCTTGTGGCAAGCATGGCCGCGGATGGTAGCCCGCTCCGTTCTCTCTCCCGCAGGCTGAGATGAAGGAAGCCAGTGGCAACGCCGAGCCCCTGGCCGACCGCTCCATCCTGGGCACCACCGTTAACATCCTCTGCAGCACCGTCCCTGTGTACTGGGCGTAGCACCGGCTGGGGTCAGGCCGGGGGGCACACGGGGCAGCACGATGGGGTTGTCACCGTCCCCGCGCTCCCCCCGTTGCCTCCCAGATCTCTCTCCTCCTCCCCAGCCCCATCCCGGGGGGGCTTCATCTGCAGCTGCGCGGCACCGTGGCGTTCTTGTGGCACTTGCAATAAACGAGTGGGATTTGCTTTGGGGTTGACGCTTCTGTCTGCAAAGTGAAGCCTGTGCCCCCGTCTCCGAGCGCTGCTCTCGTCCTTCCCCCCACCCTGAGCCGGCCAAACGGCCCTTCCCGGGGTGTCCCTGCCTCAAGGACGTCTCCTCGCGGGGTCCGGCATGGGTAGAGGTGCCCTCTGTGTTGGTCCAGCCCCGAGTGAGGAGCACGGGAGGGCTCAGACACCCACACCCCAGGGCAGTGGCACCCCCCCAACGCTGCACACCATGTCCCCATGCTGCACGGCTGGTGTCCCCTCCCCGTTTGCACAGAGGGAGGACGGGGTGGCAGCGGCAGCCTCGGCCCCTCCAGCCAGCTCTGGCACCCCTGCGAGATCTGGGTCACCCCTCCAGGAAATGTCCCCATCCGTGTCCCCATCCTCGTGAAGATGGGGACAGAGGGACTGTGCCACATCCCTGGGGGGAGCCGCGCCCTGGGACACCACGATCCGCTTGCTCCCAGCTCCCCTCCACCCCTGACACATCCCCCAAGCCCAGCAGCTCCAGCTCCTCTGCCCCAAAACACCTGGGATCATCCTTGGGGGGGTGGGGGGGGCGCCTCCTGCACCAGAGAATGGGGGATCCGCGGGGCTGGCAGGGAGAAAAGAGACCCCAGGAGGACCCCAACCAGCCCCCCAGGACGCAGCAGTGCTGGGCAGCGTGATTTAACCTTTCAAGGGTCGCAGCTTTGCTGGGAAAAGGAGGGAAATAGCACGTTGCCATGTGTCGACTCGGGGCCCGCAGCTCTGCTCCCCGAAATCCCCGCTCTGTCCCTGTCCCTGTGTCACCCTGTGAAGAGCAGGGCCGAGGAGGGGGCACGATAAGGGTTCCCACAGCCTCTCACGCTCCCGGTGTCAGAAAGCAAACAGCCAGGAGCCACTCGAGGGTCTGCCGTGCTTGAGTGAAACGAGGGGTGCGCACCCTCACCCCCACACCCGGCTGCAAGAATTCCTGAGAGGCCAAGGAGGGGGCCCGGGGGTGGCTTGGGGAGATTCCAACCTCAGCCCAACCACTGGGGAGGTTCCTGCCCAGGCAAGACCAAGGGCACAATGGTGTCACCTTGCCCCGCTGGTGGCACCACCTGGGGTGACACACCAGAGCTGGGACCCCCCTAAACCCTGAGGGGTGCAAACCGCCACCAGCACCAGCACCCCGAGTCCCCGCGGTGCCCAAACATCCTCAGGACCACCCGGGGCCCTGTCCCCAGCCTGTGGTGACCCCGCTGCCACCGCAGCCCTGCATGGGAAAGCTTTGATGTCCCACCTCGAGCAGCTCCAGGTGCCCGAGCTGGCGAAGGGACCCCGGCACCCAGCCAGGTCTCGCCCGTTGCCAGATGCTCCACCCTGGCTGGCCACTCTGACCCACGCAGGAGGGTTTGCTTTGGCCCTCACACTCGCTCCGGGGCAGCGGAGAGGTCCCTGTGCTTGGGGACAAGTGTCCTCGGAGCCTCTTGACTGGTGTGTTCCCAGGAGAGCCCAGCCCTGGGGAAGGTGATCAACAAACACGGGTGAAGTGGATCACACGCCACAGCCCGATTGCACACCGGGGCCACCAGCCCCTTCAAATGGGCCACCCCGCTCCCCACCCCAGCAACCCAGTATAAATCTCTCTGCCCCAGCTGCTGCGGGGCAGCCCAGGCTGGGAGGAGGAGGAGGAGGAGGAGGAGGAGGAGGAGGAGGAGGAG